TATAGTGTGTCTTAAACATTAGGGATTGGTACAAACTGAAATTCGGCCCAAACTTAGGCCGGTTCAGAGTTCACAAACCGTTGTTCAGGGAAGGCGCCTTCCCCGAACATTTACCAGACTCCTATACGGGCCATTTAAACCTAACAGCCCAGTGGGTCTGCCCATCAGCTGTTATGTTTAAATGGCTGTGAGTGGGTTAAATGGCTGCCTACCATTTCAGCAGTGGACAGGCGTACCCTCCCCGCTTTTAGGCTGAAATGGCTGTGAGCCAATAAACCCCTCCATTTCGCTCCCCTCCCATTTTGAAGCAGGGGGAAGCGAAATGGACAGGTTAAAATAAAGTTAAAACTTTGACAGAGTTGTCAAGTGGTGCAAACTTACATCCAAGAGCAGGCCTCAATGTAGCGTGGACTACAAGAGCAGCAAAATCGCCAAGCATAGATTTGGGCCTTCACCCATGAAATCTCAGAGAGGAAGCCTGCCCTTGGGGCAATAGCATAATTATAGTTTCTCATGAGATGCTAATGACTTCGACCTTGATCTGATAAGGTGCTGGCTAGGCCAGAGGCCTTAATTAATGACACCTGCAAGAAAGAACCAAGCCCATTACTTTGCGCATTAACCCTTGAGGGGAGGGCAAAAATGGTGGTTTGCCTCACAGCAGCCCTACCGGTTCTAGGGTAGGATTTAGTTCTTATGTGTCAAGGTGAAAGAAACAAGTGAATCCAACCTCCAGGCGATGTGGCTTATCTTCTTTCTTTATCTCCTGCTCCCCCAAACAGCAAACGTGACTCTGGATCCAGACACGGCTCATCCCCTCCTTATCCTCTCTGAAGACTGTAAAAGAGTGAGGCGGGGAGACAAAGCTCAAAATCTGCCGAACAATCCTGAGAGGTTTGACAAATGGCCCTTTGTGCTGGGCCGTGAGGGGTTTTCTTCCAGCAGACACTACTGGGAAGTCATTGTGGGAAGGGAGGAAAATTGGGCAGTGGGGGTTGCCAGAAAGTCTTTGAAGAGGAAGGGCAAGGCCGCAGTCAGTCCCGAGGGAGGAATTTGGGCTGTGGGGAGGTGGGAAGGCCGGTACTGGGCTCTCTGCACCCCCCATCCCCCTCGCCCATTTCTGTGGGGGGAACTTCAAACCATCAGAGTGACTCTCGATTTTGCTGGCGGGCGGGTGGCCTTTTTTGACGCAGACAGGGCATCTCTTCTGTTTTTCTTCTTGGCAGCCTCATTCTCCAAAGAGACCCTTCACCCTTTCTTTTGGTTGAACTCAAAAACCCACCTCAGACTCTCTCCCTAAAGACAGATTCCCTCATAGCGCCCTGTTGGCCACTATGGTTCCATCATCTGTGACCGACCCTTCTTTGAGATTCCTTCTTGTTCCCTGACAGACTTCTACCAGTTGTGGCAATAAAATACACAAAATAAACAGGCAATAAAGCCACATTCCTTGTTGTTGCCCAGGGAGGCTGAGGTGACATTTTAGGCGAAGGGTCAGGAGCCTCTTATAATTAAAGAGACAAACAGTGCCAAAATCCAGAGCAAGCAAGTGACAAAAGAACCAGTATTTTGATAACCGAAAATATAAAACATAACATTAGCTGCATCTGTGGCTGGTCAGGTAAATGGCTCCCTATCTCACCTCCTGGGACTTGGCTATAGTGATCCATGCAATGGTCACTTCCAGTTTGGTAAGAGCCAGTTTGGTGTAGTGGTTAACTGGGGGAACCGGGTTTGATTCCCCCACTCCTCCACTTGCACCTGGCTGGATGACCTTGGGCAAGCCGTAGTTCTGATAAGAGCTGTTCTTGAGAAAGAGCCGTTTCTGTCAAGAGCTCTCTCAGCCCCACCTACCTCACAGGGTGTCTGTTGTGGGGAGGGGAAGGGAAAGGAGTTTGTAAGCCACTCTGAGACACCTTTCTGTAGTGAAGGGCGGGGTATAAATCCGATCTCTTCTCTTCTTCCAGGCTAGATTACTCTAACTTGCTCAATGTGGGGCTGCCCTTGAACTTGACCTGAAAACTGCGGCCAGTGCAAAATGCGGCGGCACGCCTTTTGACTGCAATGTCTGTGTGGACGCGCATTCAGCCAGTGTTGCGCCAATTGCACTGGCTGCCAATTGAGTACCGGATCTGGTTCAAGATTATGGTGATAACCTTTAAAGCCCTTTGTGGCCAGGGACCAACATACCTATGGGACCAACTCTTCCCCATATGTCCCCCAAAGAGCTTTACTTTCCGCTGAATAACACCTTCTGGCAGTCCCCGACTTGAAAGATGTCCACTTAGCCTTGACTAGGGCTAGGGCCTTTTCTGCCCTGCCCCTGGCCTGGTGGAACACACTCCCATTGGAGATCAGGGCCCTGCGGGACTTATTACAATTCCGCAGGGCCTGTAAAACAGAGCTGTTCTGCCAGGCCTTTGGCTGAGGTTGTGGACATCTATCTCAACCTCCCCTGCTTACACGGTTTGTATTGCTGCAATCTACAGTGTCCATTCTGACCTGCCTTGCTGAAGAGAACAACAAAGCATCGTCAGGCAACAGGTCGCTCTGTATGAACATCTGAGTAGTTTCCTACAGGAGACACCTGAACTCCTGGAATGGCTGCCATCTTTAGATCTGATAAGAATTTTATTATTGTTGTTCATGGATTGTGTTTTAAAATGTTTTTAATTATTCTGTGTATTGAATTAATATGTTGTGCGCCCGCTTGCGGGGGAGGGCGGCATATACATACAAAATAAAATACACTGGCTCTTTCATGAGGAAGGCGCACATGAGGTCTCCCATGAGCAGCACCCAGCATGACGATTTTTTCTGCACCGGCACAAATCTGTGCTCGGTTTGCCCTTGACTTATTGGCAGCTGTTCACCTCTCCTAATTCTCTCTCTGTAAAGTCCTTCAGTGGTGGTGGAAAGTGCCATCCCAGTAGGGCTGCCAAACCGCGGCAGGGGATCCATGCGTGTTCGCAGGATCGCTGCCACGGGGGGACAGCAATCCGCGCTGCACCGGCGTCGCCAGGATGTGACGCTACGCGTCACCCTGGCAACGGGACTCCAAACACCCCCGTTGCCAGAGCGACGCATAGCGTTACATCCTGGCGACGCCAGTGCAACGCGGATCGATGGCTGACTTATGGGCAACCCCGTAGAGTTTTCAAGACAATAGAGGTGGTTTGCCATTGCCTGCCTCCATCGCTGGACTGCCTCAGGGGTCTCCTATCCAAGTACTAACCGGGGCCCAACCCTGCTTAGCCTCTGAGACTTGGGCTAGCCTGGACCATCCAGGTCAGGGCAAGAAGCCCTTCAGTGCCATAAACACCTTTGTCTGTTATTCCCTTCGCCTTCTGGTTATTCTAGCATCCTACCTATCCCTTCCATTTACTTTACTTTGATTTTCTTTTAAAACAAGCCATATGGGGTTCCATACTGAGGCATAACTGGGCTCTTGAGCCACAGATTGGAGACATCTGTTCTAAGCAAAACTTCTGTATCTGGAGAGCCGGTTTGGTGTAGTGGTTCAGTGCGTGGACTCTTAATTGGGAAGAACCGGGTTTGATTCCCCACTCCTCCACTTGCACCTACTGGATGACCTTGGGCAAGCCATAGTTCTGTCAGAGCTGTTCTCTCAAGGACAGTTCTAGAAAGAGCTCTCTCATCCCCACCTACCTCACAGGGTGTCTGTTGTGGAGAGGGGAAGGGAAAGGAGTTTGTAAGCCTCTCTGAGACTCTGAGTGAAGAGCGGGGTATAAATCCAGTCTCCTCCTCCTCCTCTTCTTTGTGGTAGTTTGAACTCGGCCAATCCAGGGAATGTTAGGGGGGGGGGGGGGGGGGGGGGGGATGTTCCCATTATCCAGTAAGACAAACCGTACTGAGGCATCAGTCCAGCTCAGTGATTTTCTAAGTGGGGAAGTAGAGCCTTCCAGGGGGTAAACTACAAAATCTTTGGTGGCATGCAAAACTTTTTATGGCAGGTGGGGAGGGGGATTTAGATTTTTACCAATGGAGGCTTGAACTTCATGAAAGAGTTGCCATCAGGCACAAGGGCTTTATTGAATGTGTGGCTGAGATCTGTGGATCATCTATATCATATACCCCTACAAAGTTGAACCTTATCCAGAGTGGTGTTTTATGGTCCTAATTTTTTACTGGGGGGGGGGCAGACTTTGATGCATATCTGCTGGGCGGTAGTGGGTTAAAAGCCAAGAACCACTGATTAAACAGTTTTAATTTTTAAAGGTAGTCTCTGCTCATTTATATAGTACATATGAATATATTCTTAAGGATATTTTAATGGGTTGAAATGTGCAGCAAAATGGAAGGCAGCGAAATGTCCAGACTTGAAGGAATGGAGGAATAAATGAATATGCGACAATGGCAAGATTAGCATCTCTTATACATAATAAGAGTGACTTCAGAATTTCAAGAAAAATGGAAAGATTTTTCGGTTATATAGCTGAAAATCAAGACTAAAATTAAATCAAAACGGAATGGCAGAAAGATTTAGGTAATACATGTTTTACAATGAAAATGTTATTAGATAGGAAGATAGATGGAAAAGATAAAGGTGTTTAAATAGAGGTGAAATATTAAAAGATAAATCTAAGTAAGTTCTACATAAATGTACATTTTTGAGTATAAATGAGTATAGTTTCCATTTTGTTTGTATTTCTGTAAATTGAAATGAAAATAAAAAAGAAATATGCACTTTTGTTAAAAGGTTTATTTTCCTGTTGCCTTTGTAACTCACTACAGAACAGAACAAAGGTACTAGTCCCCTTATAGCCACACAGAGATTTCCTTGGAGACAGATCAAGATGGGCAGCCGCGTTAGTCTGTCCGTGGCAGTAGAAAAGAGCAAGTAGCCCCCCGCCCCTGCACCCCCCTGAACTCTGTGCCTATGTCTGTGACTACTTTAGGGATGCTGTCCAAACCCATTTCTGAGACAAAGGCATCCTGCCGTGGGTGGGGGGGATCAAATGCTTTAGTTTAGGGCATAATGTCTGGGTCAGTCATAAGTTCTTTCAGAGCTGTTCTCTCAAGGGCAGTTCTTGAGAGAGCTCTCTCAGTCCCACCTACCTCACAAGCAGTGTTCCCTCTTAAGCTGAGTTAGTGTGAGCTAGCTCACAGTCTTTTTAGCCTCCAGATCACACATTTTTGTCTTCGCTCAGGAAGGATGGCTCCAGAGCAAACTAATTTATGCAACAGCCAAATCGCTTGCTCACAACTTTAATGCCAGTAGCTCACAAAGTAGAATTTTTGCTCACAAGACTCCACAGCTTAGAGGGAGCATTGCTCAAAAGGTGCCTGTTGTGGGAAGGGAAAGGGATTGTAAACTGCCCTGAGACTCCTTCGGGTAGTGAAGGGCAGAAGGTATAGGTACAATCTCTTCTTCTCTGTTCTTCTCACCTCATGCCTCCTTCCTCATGTTCACTGTGCAACTTTCCTGTAGTCAACCTCCAGATGGGGGAAGGGAGAGCTGGAGCGAGCAGTTAGGGTTGCCAACCTCCAGGTGGTGGCTGGAGATCTCCTGGGATTACCATTGATTTCCCCATGACAGAAATCAGTTCACCTGGGAAAAATGGCTGCTTTGGATGGTAGACTCTATGGCATTATACCCCATTGACATCTCCCCACAGTTCTCTCAGAGCTCTCTCAGCCCCACCTACCTCACAGAGTGTCTGTTGTGGGGAGAGGAAGGGAAGGCGATTGTAAGCTGCTTTGGGACACCTTCGGGTAGTATAAGGTACTATAAAAGCGGGGTATAGAAACCAACTCCTCTTCCTCTCCACAAACCCCAACCTCCTCCGGTTCCACACCGTCAAAATCTCCAGATATTTCCCGTCCCAGAGCTGGCCACGTTATGGGCAGTACAGCATCTCACACTCCTCCTCCCAAATATCAAGGAAGTTCCCGAGCCAGAGTTGGAAACCTTAAATTCCCCACACAGATTTTCTGCATCAGACTCTTCCAAACATCTTTTCTGCATTAATAAAAATGTAAAATGGCCAAAACAATTATGGATATACTAAAGCCTCCCCCCCCCTCCAACATTCATCGAAACTGTTATACGCAGTTTATGAAACACTGGGGAATTTCACATTACCAGTCTTCTCCCGGTTTCAAGCCGGGAGTCTTCCGTTTCCAGATGAACCGGTACAGGGCTGCCGTTTCACACACGGCTTGCCCCTACCGGAAAGGAGCCGATTCACAAGCGGTTCGGCGTTTCACACACGCACCGCTTTGTTTCCCCACGGTTTTTTTTTAAAAAAGTCCGTCTTATAGCGATATATCGATATACCAGTATTCCAATGTATTCCAATGAGATCGCTATAGCATTATATCGATATATCGATATAAGCCGAACGTTCAAAAAAAAAAGCCCACGCAACCGAAAAAAGGCGGGAAAGAACCGTATCGGAACCGGGAGAGGGAACGGGAGACTCCTCGGAAGCGGTTGACAGGTAAATCGCTTCCCTCCCGGTTCCTATACGGAACAGAGACTTTTGAGTGTGAAATGGCAGTCAGATCCCGGTAGGGAACCGATTCTCAACCGGGTTCTGTCTGAAATGACAGACCAGAACCCGGTTGAGAATCGGTTCCCTACCGGGAGATAGCCGCTGTCTGAAATTCCAATGTTCCCTCTAAGCTGTGGAGTCTTGTGAGCAAAAATTCTACTTTGTGAGCGACTGGCATCAAAGCTGTGAGCAAGCAATTTGGCTACTAGATAAATTACTTGGCTCTGGAGCCATCCTTCCTGAGCTGAGACAAAAATGTGTGAGCTGGAGGCTAGAAAACTGTGAGCTAGCTCACACTAACTCAGCTTAGAGGGAACACTGCTCAGCACTCTGTCTGACTTAGTAGGCTAACCTTAGTGGACTCAGTTAGCACCTCTGACACAGACATACAGATATGTTAAGACTTTTATCGCTTCACTTCACTGATAGTCCGCCTTTCTTGCTGAGGCGCGAGGCGGATGAGATCAATGCGTTTACAGGCCTGGAGCCGCACACGGGCTCAGGCTCGGAGGGCTGATTCCACGCACCATCATTTTAGAAGGTTATGCTAAATATTAGTGCCACCACCTCATTTTTTAAAAAAAGCCGCCTTTCCCCGCTTTTAACCCCCATCTCATCTGTCGTACACCCGAGCGGCGAATCAAACTGCACTTTGCACCAACTCAAGGGTCCCTTGAACCCTGCAGATTTCACACGCTCCTTTGACGTAAGGGTGGCGGGAGGAGAGCCTTGAAAGACGCCGTTTCCTTCCCGGGCGACTCACGGGGCGGTCCCAGGAAAGCTGTGGGCGGGGTTTCCAGCGGGAGACCCGCCCTTTTCCTCCTCGCCATGGCGGAGATTTTGGAGTTCCGTGTCCCAACTGGCCCTGGCCGGACCCTCCTCGTTTTGGGACTGGAGACCGACGCCACGGAGGTAAGTAACTGGACCTATCCCGGCCCGGGTGGAGGGCAGGGGGAGACGTGCTAGTTGTAATTTCGCTCCTTCACTCGTCGGGGGCCGGGGGGGCTTCTTTCCAGGGTCTTTCCCCTTTCCTAATAGATCTCCCTGTTTGCTTGTCTTTTCTTTCAGCATGCGCTGTATTTAGCGCTTTCTGCTTTTGGGCCGCTCTACTCCGTCAGGCTTCACAGAAATGCCGCTGTTGCCGGTCCTGGCTATTATGCCCTTGTCAAGTACTACTCCGCCAGAGATGCCAGCAGAGCGCAACTCGCGTGCCACCGGCAGCCGCTGTTTCAGAAATCCGCTTTGAAGGTTACTCCACCACGTAGTCTGGGGTTGGTGGTGTTTATGACTCAGTGAGGCTGGGAAATGATATTCTCCATCCATTCTTAAGTAATCATATCCTTATAAATATACCCCCGTGTTCTTATCAGACTGTAGCCACGGTGAGGATTCTGCATTTCCCTGTCGTCGTCAGTGTGAATGCAGAGGCATTCACACTGGTGGTGAAGCGTCAACATAAAAAGTTTTGGGTGCACTGTCCTCTACTGTTTTCTCTGTAACCCTTCCCACTTCCATGTAACTGGCCTTTAAAAAAAAACAGTAATTGCTATGTGCTACGTTGCCATCACAACCTACCAGTTCCTCGGAATCCCCAGATTTCATTTTAGAAGTCGCTAGCCCAGGAGTGTCAAACATGTAGCCCCAGGAGCTGGAACCAGCCAGTCTAGGGCTCTTATCCACCCCGCAAGCAACTGGTGTGAGAGAGGGAAGGAAAGAGATGATGGGGGGGGGGGGGGGGGGGGCGGGAGGCGCATGGGTGTACATGGTGAGGTGTGTGTGGTGGAAACTTTCAAGAATCAAAGGAAATGACTAGGGGGTGGGTATGGTATCCCTTGGAAAAAACCTAGTCTTGCAGATGATTAAATACATTTATGGGGGCTTTTGTGGATTCCCCAGTAGATCAATTGTTTTCACGCCTATGACTCAGTGGCTATTGTTTGTATTTTGAGTAAAAAATAATATCGTTAATTGGGTTTGCCCAGGGCTTTTTTTGTAGAAAAAGCCCAGCAGGAACTCATTAGCATAATAGGCCACACCCAATAGCAAAAACTCATTAGCCTATTGGGCCATACCCCTGACAGCACCACTCATTAGCATATTAGGCCGCACCCACATGCTACCAGAAGTGTGGTCACCCAGCCACACCCACCTTTTGCTTCTTATTCTGTTTACCTTGTTTGTTGTCCAAACCCAGGGCTTTTTTTGTAGCAGGAACTCCTTTGCATGTTAGGCCACACACCCCTAATGTAGCCAATCCTAATGAGT